GTGTGTGTGTGTGTGTGTGTGAGAGAGAGTGTGTGTGTGTGTGTGTGCGTGTGTGTGTGAGTGTGTGTGTGTGTGTGTGTGTGTGTGTGAGAGAGAGTGTGTGTGTGTGTGTGTGTGAGTGTGAGAGTGTGTGTGTGTGTGTGTGTGCGTCTGTGTGTGTCTTAAAATGCTTGATGTTGCAAACTACTATTTCATATAATATATTTAAAAATTAATACTGTAATCAAACACACAGGTTTGTAGTGGAAACAGTTTTACAGTTTACCTCACTTTGTATTCTTCTTGTTATTTACCTATAGCGCTATCACAATTGAGTCTCACACAATCACAGAAATCAGTATGTCTTGCAGCTAAAACATTCACAGATATTATATATAAATATATATACACTGTAAAAAATTTATGTAATTTTAACCGTAAAATATTGTAAAAACACTACGGGAAGTTTTTTTTAATAGATTAACAGTAAACAGGGAAAAACTGTAAAAGATCTAAATGGACATTTCATGTAATTTTACAGTAAAATGCTGTTAATTGTACAGATTTTAGAAGTAAAAAAGAACAAATCAATGTATAATTTACTGTCAAAATCTGTAAACTGACATTCCCAGAATTCACTGCGTGACGCTCCACATTTGAAAGTATTTTGTTTAAATAATCATGTTTCTTAATAGTTTTTGTTATCAGTTATGTACTTTAGGGTTTATGTTACATCTTCTGTTGTTTAATGAATGTTCATTGCTTTATTTAAAAGTTGTGTGTTACCATGATGGTGTTTTGTGTTTCTGGGAATGACTCTGTGTATCTTCTCTATATTAGTATATACTTCAGCTTGTAGAAAAGCTACTTGTGATGAACTTTGATTGTTCATGTGGCTCAAGATTCCCCGATACGCTCGGTGCATCGGCATAAAAAGTTAACGATGCAATGCATCATCGGATACAAATTGGCATTTGTATCATGATGCATCGTATCTAACATAATTGCATCGGTAAAACCGATTTATTTACATATAATTATCAGTAGATGCGGTATACAGTTTTATTGTTTAGAAAGTGACCAATAATTTGTGACCAATATTTTCTATACGTAGATTGATTTCTCTAAACTGTTTCTCAAGCGTGTTCTCTCAGCACCACTGCTGCTACATGAATATGTATGATGTATCACAACACAACACAATGACTGAGGCATGTCAGGCCTTGCCAGTAAACATTTCATTCACATTCTGTTCTGACATGCGCATTTTGAGTGTGCACACCTGAAGCGCGCGCACATTAAGTTATCTTTCACGCCTGCTTGCTCGAATACTGTCAAAAACACATAAGGTTTACATATAAACAGTTGGTTATGTATGGTGTTATTTTAATGACAAATGTTGAGAGCGCATTATTGTAGCACGAAAGCACATAAATATAATGCGCGAGTGCGAATCTCTCCACGCACACGCAGATTTCCTTTTCTCTCACACAAAACCGGACTTAAAATGTATTTCTCCTCTAGCTCAAAGTGTGCACGCTCAAACTGTGTCCTGTGCACTCGCAAATCTCTCTATGCTCATGCAAGTGGAGAGATTCGTGCTCGCGCATTATATTTATGTGCTTTCGTGCTACAATAATGGGCTCTCGACATTTGTCATTAAATTAATGCCATACATGTACCCCCTGGCTGCCCCACCATCGAGAGTAATGAAAGCGGAAGAATTCGCAGATTGGGTCCTGGCAGTAAAAGATGCCTTCCATGACTTTGCAAGTTCCTCATGATACCAATTATTAAGCTGCAAACACTCAGGACAGGGCAGAGGATTCCACTCTAGCCCAGTGTTCCCGGCAGCATGGCAGCCAACTCATAATCGGCCTCAGTCTGAGCAACACGGCCAGATGTTGGGAGCCCAGATGAGGCCTCAGTGTCAGCAGGCTTCAAACTCCTTTCCAATGCTGCTATCAACAGTCCATCTTCTTTACAAACCCTGAATGAGAAATTAATCATACTTAGGTGAGCAAACAGACTCATCCATGAATTTGACAGGGAAAAACTAGTGTGTGGAGGCATGGGAGGAAATGCCTTGGAAATGCTTCAAATGAATTACAAATCTGAATGAGTAGAGCACGCCATCTCCTTTTATACCCATTTGTATGGGGGAGTGGCTGAAATGCAAATTTCGCTCACCAATTCTCATTGGCCTTTTATGAACTATCAGAGGTGTTTGGGGCTCCCAAGTGTGACTCCTAGTGTCAGTACATCAACACAACGTCAAGTGAGTGACAGATAGGGAACATCAATACGTTTGAATAAAGGGCGAAGATACCAATTATCTACATCATTTTTGGCCACAATTGCATACTATTAAACAAGTGGCAAAAAGTGTGTGGATCATGCGTGCCTCAGTGTCTTTACTGCTGCTAGTTTCTGTCGCATTGGACCTAAAGTGTAATCAATCACAATTCTTCCCCCTTTTTTTTGCAGGAATCACACTGTGGGATCCGGAAAAGCTCCAGCAGAGTTTACGAACCCGTCCCCAAATTAACACAGATTTTAAAGTCACGGCTTCAGACTCCATTGAGGACAAATCAACCTTACTGAACATCGACGACTCTCTGAAACTGAGTCTTTTAGGTGGACTGCTCAATGTGACAGGAGCAGCCAAATATCTCAATGACACCAAGAAGTCTTTCAGACAGCAGAGACTGACTCTGCATTATCATTCAACCTGCAGGTTTGAAGAACTGACCATAAATCACTTGGCACCTGAAAATATAATTAATCAGGATGTGTTTGATAATGACATAGCGACACACGTGGTGACAGCAGTGCTGTATGGAGCGGACGCCTGCTTCGTGTTTGATAGAGAAGTTTCAGCAGATGAGAACAAGAATACAGTAGAAGGAGAAGCAAAACTGGCTCTTGAGAAACT